GGTCCAGAAACAGTCAATCCTCCAAAGCACACTGTGATGCATCTCTTCATGGTAGTGGTCACAGTCCCCAAAAGCCCCAGGAATGGCCAAAACCTTGTAGTCCAAGATCTCATAATTTTGTTCCTTTCGGGTGAACTTCTCGAAAAAGGTACTGCAGGGGTGTAGAGCCTGTTTGGAACTCTGCCTCTTAGAGAGCATGGCATTCATTTGTATGCAGGGGCAGGGGTGGGCAAAACCCGGCCCATGGGTCGCATGAGGACCAACACGCCATTCGATTCTGCCCAAAAATTACAGGAGCCATTGGCAGTAGAACGCAGCAGAAGCCACAGCAGGACCCTGGAACAGCAAGGCATGCCTGGCCCTGGACCCACGCCCGCCCTGCCCCGCCCCCGAGCCGGAAGCTCCTGCCTAGCAGAGGCTTCTGGCTTGAGACCCTGGGGCTGTTTGTGCCTGCACCAGCATGGAAAATTCAGGTAAGAGCAGGGGGACAGGGAGACGGGGCATCCAAACCCCAAGCCTCCAGGCGTGGTGGTCCTGCACATAGGATGCCCGTCAGATGATTTGGAAACATCTGAAGCCCCAGGCGGGGGTGGAGGATGTTTGCCGGTAGCAGGCCCTCATATGGTTCTTGAATGACTCACGGATTTGGAAGTGATTTGGCTGATTTGGTTTGGAACCCAAAAAGTTTTCCTTCAAATAAGAAAAAGATCAAAAAAATCGGGGGCATCCAAAGCCCAAGCCTCGGGCTGGGGCCTGCACATAGGATGCCTGCCAAAAGATTTAGAAGTATCTGAAGCCCCAGGATGGAAAATTTGGGGTGGACGATACTTGCCAGTTGGGGACCAGTCTGAGACAGGGGGTTTCAGGGACTCGATGCCTTGTGGATGGGTACGAGGGAGCGCCTTCCCAAGGGAGCATATATTGTAACAGGTGCGCAGGTTTTTCTCTGGTGGCTTAAGCAGGTAATGAACAGTGACTAGAAGGTGACCCAATATATATATATAGAACCCTTATATAAAACTTAGGCCTGTGCGAAGCGGCTAGCATTTGCTTCGGATTCGGATTCGGCCGATCCGGGCAGCAGGGACTCGATTGGGTGATTCGAATCACTGCCCCGAATCGAGTCGGCCAAAACCGATTCGGCAGGAGGCCCCACCCCCGCCCCCTCTCCCCCCCCC